CTCAATAGTGTATTTAAAAAACAACACATCAGGATTATATAGAATTTATCCTAGGAATTCAAGAATGGTTCAACATCAGAGACAGAGTCAGAGGAGAGGAACCATATGATAATCTCAATCAATGAAGAATAAATACCATAAAGTTCACCAAAAGGTTAAAAACCAAAGACAAGAAAAGATTATGTGGGAGAAGATCCTGAGAACTAGGAACAAAGAAAAATTTAAAAACACATAAGCATATGATTAATATTATCACACCAAAAGTAAAGATTTTTCTTCCATGACAAACACTACGAAGTTAACAGACAAATGGCTGAAAGACAGAATAGGACAGGATAAATGCCTAAATTGAAAAAAGGTTTATTACAAAGAAAAGACATAAAATTTCTGAAAATCAACAACAATAATTCTGACAGAACAATGAGCAAATAATACAGCAAGGCAATCTGCAGAACTTAGTCTAGACTGCAAAGATTGGAGAGGTGGATAATCCTGTTTATTGGCAAGGATAGAAGATACAAGAAGCCTCAGACACAGCCAGTGGGAGTGGAGACTGGTGAAATCATTCTGGCTTGGATCAAAGCCTCAGTTAATAAAGAACTATTCCTCTGTCTCCCATTGTCTCCTGTGCATTTATTTCCTTTGGAGACTTTAAAGGGAGGAATGGCTGCTCTGACAAAGAATTGGGGTCTTAGGACTGTAGGTCCTAACCATCTATCTCTACCAATTATCTCTGCCTGCATTATCCACCCTGTGTAAAAAAATAGGGAAGCAAAAATTCCAACTATATGCTTCTATTTAACATAAGTCTAGCTAGATAAGACTTTTTTTCTTTTTAAGTCAGATTTCTAAATATTGGCACCAAAAAACTGTCCCAAAATTGTAGTTGATGGGAAACTGCTGCTTATAATTACTGAAGGAAATGCATTCTAGTCATACTAATCATCATTATATAGTAAAGAGCTGGCAAAGAAGAAATTTAGCTTGAAAAAGAAAAATGGTTGTCAGACAATCTGGAGAAGGGATTTGGGGGGTTTCAGTAACCCCAAAGTATCACAAAGGAATAAACACATGGGTCCACTTTTCTCAGCAAAAGGGGAGAATAGAAGACCTCCAGGAAACCTAGGCACTAGAAGGTCAGCCTGTCTTAGAATGGAGAAAAAGGCATCTTCCTTATTCCCAGTGGTAACTTGAGCAGGCCCTAAAAGAAGTAATTGACCAATTCAAATCTCAGAAGGAATTAAAGACTCCTAGTGGAATCTCTGATTCAGGAAACAGCTGAAGTTGACTGAGAGATAGAAATGAAAGGTCATCCACTTTATACTTCAAACCTACGCTCATCCATCAGGTACTGGTAGAGGCTTGACTCCAGACAAGGAAACTGAAAAAAGATCTCTGGCAGACCCTGCTGGGATAGAGGTCAGAAAATGTACCTCACAGCCTGATGAGATCATAATCTCCAGATTCAGAGTCCAAAACTATTCTTACAATTCCCAGGGATGAAAGATAAAAAGCTACTGTATCATTTGGCTATGATGATTTTTATCCTTTAAAGTATGCTAACCTAAACATTGGTAAAGCCATCAATGCATTTGATCGAAGGGAAATTTAACTGAGTTATTGCCAGTCTCTACATGATGAAAGATTTTTTTTCTTTTGTGTGGGTGTGGTGCTAAGAATCTATCTAACTGGTGGCCTTGTGTGGCTAGGCAAGCGCTCTGTCACTGAGCTACATCCCCAGACACAATGACAGATTTCTATGCTAATAAAGCTAGCGCTTATACAGTTCTCAAGTTCAGTCTCAACAGGCTGTGGGGTGGGGTCCAGGTTAGGGGTCATTCATTCTCATTCTCTCTCTCTCTCTCTCTCTCTCTCTCTCTTTCTCTGTCATTCATTCTCTCTCCTCTCTTTCTCTTTCTCCTTCTCTCCTCTCCTCTTCTCTCTCTCTCTCTCTGTCATTCATTCTCTCTCCTCTCTCTCTCCCTCTCTCCTCCCCCCTCCCTCTCTGAATTTGAGAATGATGCATACCCATGCCAATGTCTGAAAAAAAAAATGTGAGTCTGAGATGCACAGAGACCTTTTCTTTTAACACAAGAATGTGCACTTGCTGCAGTCAACTGGGCTGTGTGTGCTCACTTACCAGAGAAACTGATGCTTACTGTAAAAATAGCAAAGTTTCCTGGGCAAGGAAGAAGAACCTATGCATTCACATGTAATTCATAATATTAGTTTTGGATAAAGAAACATGATATTAAAATAAAAGTAAATTTAAAAAAACCTTTGAGCATGAGCATAAATTAGGACTTATAACACATTTGCAAATACAATACAAAGCAAAGAACCTTTCTAGAAGTCTTAGGAAAAGTTTATGGTGTTCTTAAGGTTATGGTTTGTTTCAATAACAAATTTCGAAACTTTAAATGGTGCAAAAAGTACTAATATCCTAACTGTAACCAGATTTTATATTATCCTGAGCAAGAAAAGCTGGTTGAAATACCCTTAAAAACTCTGTAATTTTTAAAAGAGCAAATTACAATTTTCCTAAATATCAAGAGGGCAAGAAATGAGAAACAGTCATGCGGTTTCATAAACTCTATTTAGAGGCTAGCAGGAAAGAGAAATCTGTACCAGATACTGAGAGAAGGATTAAGGCTGTTCCCTCAGTCAGGGCTACTAAGGAAGCAATATAAGTAACAGTAGGCTAGAAAGAACATAAAAAGAATTAAGGAAAAAATGCACAAAGTGGACTTGTAAAGTACTAGATGATATTCTCTTGTAAGAGAGAGAGAGGAGGGAGAATTACAACAGATTAAGAGTAGGTCTGGCACTCTTTGGCCAAAGGGCAATGTAAATTGTTTACATCCAACCCAGGTATCAATTCTGCAATCACTTCCATCCTTGCCTTGCATTTGTAACTACTACTAAGAAATCAAGGTGTCTTATCCACTCCAGTTGGTGCCCAGAGGAAAGAAGCTACTGAGCTTTTCAAGCCTAGTTGCCAAGCTACATTCTAAAGGGTCCCTTCAACTGGATTTTTCATGTGAATATCTCTCTTCATTAGCTTGTTGATGAAGAAGTTGGCTATTTAAGATCCTGTTTACTGGGGGAGAGGGAAGGGGTCGGGGTTAGGGGGGGAGAAATGGCCCAAATAATGTATGCACATATGAATAAATAAAAAAAAAAGATCCTGGTTACTTCCCCTCTTCACATAACTCATAGTACTGATGCTGTTATGATAATACTCATGCACTCAAAAAAAAAAATAAAAGAGAGTGACAATATTCAACTGTTTTTAAAGAAAGAAGAAACATCAAGAGAACAAAATTTCAAGGACTATGATCCAAATGAAGTTGGCTTAGCCCTGAACAGTGAAACCACTAGTCATCTAAGCATGATGAACTGGTGCCCTTAGGTCAGTGAACCTGGAGGGGGCAGACAGCAATGAAGCAGAAGCAGTAGCATCTTTATTCAAAATGAACACCAAAATTGGAAAGTCATTTTGAATGAGTAGTACTTGCCACCAAAAAGGACACAAGCTTTCAGAACATGCTCTCCGGCAAGGTCACTACCTTTTCTGTTTGTTTATTTACTTATTTGTTCATATATGCATACATTGTTTGGGCCATCTCTCCCCACCCCCCCCACCCTGTCCCCTCCCTCACTCCCCCTCCGCCCTCACTTCCAGGCAGAACCTGTTCTGCCCTATTTTTCTCCAATTTTGTTGAAGAGAAGACATAAGCAATAATAAGAAAGACATAGCGTTTTTGCCAGTTTGAGATAAGGATAGCTATAGAGAGATTCCTTGCATTGCTTCCATGCACATGTTGTATTACAACCTGAACTGGTTCATCTCTACCAGACCTCTTCACTACTTCCCGGTCAGGTCACTACCTCTTGAGCAATGGAGAAAACCAGGGTGATCCTTCAGTAGTCCTTCCTGAAATCACCTCTAGCTTTCTTCGGGATGTACCGAGCTGTGCTCATGAGATCCAACCACAGGGGCTGATGAATACCCTCCTTTAGTAAGTTTCTGGCATTTCTTCTAGCCTTTCATGAAGGCTGTGCCAGAAACTTCTTCTTGACAACAAAGCTCATTTTCTAGTCAGCCTGGCCTGAAACTTATTGCTTAATCTTCTCCATTTCCAAGTATACGTAAAACAATCTGTCTGGAAAAATATATTCCTTCTATATAGAACCTCTTAGAAACCTATAGGTTTCTAACGTTGAAATATTCAACTTATAAATGTGCCCTGCCTTAAGTTCCCTAGAGTGTGGCCAGGAAGGACCTTTGGACATAGCTCTTTGCCCAGGTGTGTGCAACTGCTTTTTTTCTGCCTCCAGAAGACCACCAGCTTACATGCAACCAGAGAAAGTAAGACTTTTTTTTTTAAAGGATTAACATCAAAACACTTTATACATATAATCTGCTTATAAAACCTGCAGTGATCTATGTCTACCACAAAAAAACAGAAATACTTTTCAAAGGCACAAAACTAAAGCAAAATCAGGGGGTGAAATAAAGTGTTTTTTCATTAGGACTTTAATAAGACAATTTAAATTCTGGCTTGGGATGTAGCTCAGTGGTACAGCACTTGCCTAGCATGTGTGAGGCCACAGGTAGGAAGGTAGGCAGGTAGACAAGAAGGGAGGAAAGGGGATGGAAAGAAGAAGGGAAAAAGTATAATTCTGCTCATGTCACCTACAGGGTGGTACTTGAGCACAAAATTTCAAGACTAACTATCAACACAACTCAAAGTCTATCAGAAGCATAGCAATAGCAGCCACTGCCTACACAAACCACTAGGCAGCACTTCCATCCCCCTCTCATAATCAGCAGCTGGAAACCTGTCAAAGATTCCCTTTTCTAAAAGCTGCTACAGGTGAGACATTAGGAATATACTGATCATGCCGTGTGACTTACTCTGAAACAGAGAGAGAATCCCAACCCTTAAAACTATCATGTGCTAAGACAAAATGCCAGGCAGCAGCCCAAGACTCACCTTTGTCAGGAACACAAACTGAAAGGTTTTTAACACCATCAATCAGCACATCCTGTGTGGTGTTGTGTTTATCTTCTATGTCGCTGTCATCAAACTGAGCCTCTATAATGACATCAGGACTGTCATTATAGCCTTTGAGAGACTGCTGAGGAAGGTGGTGTCCACAAAGCTCCTCCGGGAGATCAGATTCATCGGCAGCTTCTGTGTCTTTGTCATTGCTCTCCGGTTTAATTAACTGAACAAAACAGATACAGTCTTCTAAATCATGGGGTAGGGGGACCTTTTCCTTTTCTACAGAAAAAAAGCTTCACATTCAGAAGGTGACATTAGACATTCATGAAAAAAAAAAAAAAAGGACCTTTATTTTCCAGATGCACAGACTCCCCTTTGGGATGTAATCATGCCAGCTATGCCAGGCTGGCACTTAGCAATTCAAGAGGACCCAAATTAATGCCATATCCACTTCTCATTAATATAATCTACAATTTCATCCCTCTCTCCTGAATACCATAAAGTCCCAAGCTGCTTCATAAAAGTTGATTATGTAGAACACTGTATATAGAAATTAGTATATTAGGAAATGATAAAAGAATTTAACCAAACATGCACTATGTTCCCAAGTGAAACCACTAGACTACAAGAAGAAATGGAAAGGACAAAATTGTGAATGAGAGTTCACATAAAAAATATAAAGCCTTAATTCTCCATTTTTGGGACTGAAATCAGTACATAAAGCACATAGAATGGTGGACATCTACATTACTAACAAGAATGAAGCAAATAGGAGAAAAGCATCTAGACCTCAATCTGTGTGATGAGTTTGGCACATGACAGCACACTAACATCTATGGACACTGTATTCAAATAAACTAGTATTGACAAGTCACTGAAAATAACTGTGCCCCTCTATGTAAATCTGTCCAACCATACTAGCAAAATAAGATAGCAACAGATTCTGCAGATTCTAGATGTTACTTGCAACACTATATCCTTTCAAAGAAACTATTTCTCAATGAAAAAAAATCTATATTCAATTTAAACATAAAATTAAAATGATGACATATGTGTACACATAAATATAAAAACAAATTTGATCATTGTAGTACATTTTTTTTCATTCTTTCAAACAAATGCTGGAAGGTCCACCCTGTGCCAGGAACCCTCACAAAGCCTAGTGGGGTACAGGTGGTAAATATTTTACTCATCCGACAAATCGTTATATAGCATCTTTCCAGGTGCCAGGCACTGTTCTAGGTGCCAACGATGCAGCTGAGAACATAATAAAAAATTTACCAGTGATAAATGCAAGCAAAAATACAGAGAGAATGAAACCGCTAGTTAAGATGATATGAGGGAACTCTAAAGTTGGTACAGGAAAGAGTAGGAAATACTCTGGAATTAATAGGTATAGGCAAGAACTTTCTCAATGGAACCCCAGCAGCACAGCAACTAAGAGATAGCATAGATAAATGGGACCTCATAAAACTAAAAAGCTTCTGCTCAACAAAAGAAATGGTCTCTACACTGAAGAGAACACCCACAGAGTGGGAGAAAATATTTGCCAGCTACACATCAGACAAAGGACTGATAACAAGAATATATAGGGAACTCAAAAAACTAAATTCTCCCAAAATTAATGAACCAATAAAGAAATGGGCAAATGAATTAAACAGAACTTTCTCAAAAGAAGAAATTCAAATGGCCAAAAAACACAAGAAAAAATGCTCACCGTCTCTAACCACAAAGAGAAACCACTAAGATTCCACCTCACCCCTGTTAGAATAGCCGTCATTAGCAACATCACTCACAACAGGTGTTGGCGAGGATGTGTGGGAAAAAGGAACCCTCTTACACTGTTGGTGGGAATGTAAACTAGTACAACCACTCTGGAAAAAAATTTGGAGGCTCCTTAAAAATCTAAACATAGATCTACCATACCATCCAGCAATATCACTCTTGGGGATATACCCAAAAGAAAGTGACACAGGTTACTCCAGCGGCACCTGCACACCCATGTTTATTGCGGCACTATTCACAATAGCTAAGTTATGGAAACAGCCAAGATGCCCCAACACTAACGAATGGATTAAGAAAATGTGTTATCTATACACAATGGAATTTTATGCAGCCATGAAGAAGAATGAAATGTTATCATTTGCAGGTAAATGGATGGAACTGGAGAACATTATTCTGAGTGAGGTTAGCTGGCCCAAAAGACCAAAAATTGTATGTTCTCCCTCATATGTGGACATTAGATCAAGGGCAAACAAAACAAGGGGATTGGACTTTGATCACATGATAAAGCGAGAGCACACTTGGGAGGTATGAAGATAGGTAAGACACCCAAAAAAACTAGATAGCATTTGTTGCCCTCAATGCAGAGAAACTAATGCAGATACTTTAAAGCAACAGAAGCCAATAGGAGAAGGGGACCAGGAACTAGAGAAAAGGTTAGTTCGAGAAGAATTAATTTAGAAGGTAACACACATGCACAGGAAAGCAATGCGAGTCAACGCCCTGTATAGCTATCCTTATCTCAACTAGCAAAAGCCCTTGGTCCTTCCTATTATTACTTATACTCTCTCTTCAACAAAATTAGAGATAAGGGCAAAATAGTTTCTGCCTGTAGTGAGGGGGTAGGGGGGAAGAAATGACCCAAACATTGTATACACATATAAATAAAAGAAAAAAAAAAGATGATATGAGGGAAGAAATAACAGAAAAGGTAAGGCTAGTTCACCAGTAGGGTGATTAGGGGTTACGTGCAATACTACATCCTTTACAGATGCTTCAAAGGAAGTAACATTTGAGTAGGGACCTGAATAAAATAGTAAGCTTCTCTTGCAGTTCCTTCTTGTGTTTGTATTTTTTTACACTAAGATTTTGTTGAGTTTTACACAGAGGTTTCAAAATAGACACCTACTTTCAGCAAACCAGATTAACACTATAGTTAAATCACATAAGCAACATGCTTAATGAAATATCTTCATCTTATATTAGGTTGAAAAAGTTATTAAAACCTTCCCAAAACATTTTAATGTCACAGTTTCCAATTAATGTAACCATCCCTAGATAACTAATATTATAACATCCATTAGAAAATCAAAGTAAAATAGCTTAAGAACATATCTCCACAAAGTTTTTTAAAAGTTGATTTAATTGAAATATAAAAATAGTAAAAACTGTTTACATGGTCAGCTTCTGAGCAAATTAAGCCTTTGAATAATTTTTTTTTAAAAAAACTGGATTCTCAATCTCTAAAAATACTTGATGAAACTTTCTTTGAATTAATGCTATGTTTTGACTATTGTCAAATTCATTAATTTGTTTATTATTTCCAAGTTCAGAAACAAACAATGCTCTTTTTTTCTTTTGGCAGCGTTGGGGATCAAACTTAAGGCCTCAAACATGCTAGGTGAGAGCAAAACCTCTGAGTTATGTCCCTATATCCTTTTCTTTGATAGTTTAAAAAAAAAAAGTTATACAGGCTAAGCCAACAGTTTCAGTCTTCAAAAAGATTTCCTTAGGCCCCATCCGGCAGAACACATATGAGTGAAGCCATAGCTAGGGTGTTATATTTACATACAATCAGAAAACCGGCTCTCCTTTCTGCCCTTCTGCCTTGCACACAAGTCCTGGTTTCATACATGTCCCAATGTAGATCATTCAAAAAACAAAGAATATAATGGTAAGTTATGGAAGAAAAAAAATTTGACATCAATCAAATCAACAAAACCATTCAATTTGCTTTAAAAAGTAGGCAAATTCTGTAACATTTAGGAACATCTGCCCCTGGTCTCCTCAAAGGAAGAAGGCATTGTTAGAGCAGCCCAAACACAGCAAGAGGTGTAGCCTATGTCTAAGGCACAGGGGCTACAAGCTGACCACTACTCTATTGCTTTCCTTATATCATCCTCATATAGTTTATTCTCAGAGAGCAAGGAGTTGGGGGCAAAAAAGAAAAAGAAAAACCACCACCAAAATGGCAGTCATGCTAGAATTAGACTAGCAGGTACCATGCATGTAGTCAGATTGTGTTCGTTATCTCTCTCTCTCTCTAAGAAAATGTGACCCCACACACACCATATCTTCAGTTCCTTATAGTCAAAGGATTCATAATTTTTACCTTAAATGTGATATTTTCAACAGAAAGAATGTATTTTCCCTTTTTAACTTCTGGCAAATTCTGTGTGTTTAAAAAGGCTATGAAAAAAATGATGTAGTAATGAAAAAACATGGGGAAACTGATGGCAAAAGAGTTAAAAATCACTTGCAAAATAAACATTCACCTGGTGAAAAATAAAAAAGAAGAAAGAAAGAGAGAGCGGGAAGAAGGGAATTTCTCAAACTCCTGGATTCAAGTAATTCTCCTGCCTTAGTCTCCCAAGTAGCTGGAACCACAGACACATATCATCATGCTCCCAGCTTCCTAGAAAGACATGCAAAGGGCCTAAGCCTGTAGTTTCTATTATTTGTTTATTCTGCTACTGATGGTTTTACAAAGTATTTGGTCTCACAAACCATCAAAATATATATACATATTACTGGGAAACCAGAATTCTAACTTTATACAATTTGAAGCCTGACCCATCTCACAATGAAAGGCAGTCTGAATCTGCATGTATGCATTTGTATATGTATGTATGTATGTGAAGATATACATAAATATAATTCTGTAATCACCATGATTCTACACACCTACTTGTTAAGAATTATGCTGTAACTCTTGCATACAAAGATTAAGGAAAGTGATTGGTAAGAAGAGACCAGTAGAAAGCAAAAACCAGAGTATAGTAAACTTAATTATACAGTACACCTAAAAACCAACCCAGTTCTGACTGTGATCATCTCCATGGTTTAGATTACCTATACTCAAGAATTGGTATTTTAGACACCATACTCACTTTTGAAATACTAAAGCAAAGAATGCTTTAAGGTAACAATGAATAAATCAAGTCACTTAGTTCTTCATTATGGAAGTGTTTCAGTTAATTAGGATGGAATAAAAGTCTCAGTATCACCATTTTGCCATTCCTACTGAAATAATGGGTTCAGCAAACAATCACCAATGGTTCCTAAAACTAGTAACTCATAAGCTGATTAGGAAGGAGTTTTATAATAGATGGACCCAGAGTAGCAATACTGGATCCACTGGTCAGTATGAATATCATAAGAAGAGAAATAACCAAAGTGCTTCTTGATTCACTATGATAGGAAGGACCTATCACCACCTAT